TCCCACTGCAGACACAGCTAATTCTCACAGCCAATTGGCCTGGAGGTCAATTCTTCCCAGTGATACCTACAACAATCAAGGCTTAACTACAACAAGACTGTGCACAAAGCCCACAAGGGGGTGCATCAAGAGTGTCCTCCTCAGGTAATTGGGGAGGCTGAGCCACTGGGCCCTATAGGACACCTAGCACACAAAGCCACTCTATCAACACAGGGAAGCATAAAAAATGCGGAGACAAAGAAACAGGACACAAATGACAGAAATGGAGGAAAGCAAACTACTGGGTTTAGAGTTCAAAACCACACTTTTAATGTTTTTCAAAAACTTTCTAGAAACCGCCAATAAATTTAGTAAGACCCTCAAAAAGTCTGGTGAGACAACTGATAAATGTAGTGAGACCCTCAAGAAATCTAGTGAGACACTCGAGGTTATGAAAAAGGACCAACTAGAAGTTAAGCATACACTGACTGAAATAAAGGATATTATGCAGAGTTTCAACAGCAGACTAGAGGATCGCAAGAATCAAGTCAAAGATTTGAAATATGAAGAAGCAAAAAACACCCAACCAGAAAAGCAAAATGAAAAAAGAATCTGAAAATACGAAGATAGTGTAAGGAGCCTCTGGGACAGCTTCAAGCGTACCAACATCCGAATTATAGGGGTGCCAGAAGATGAGAGAGAGCAAGATATTGAAAACCTATTTGAAGAAATAATGACAGAAAACTTCCCCTATCTGGTGAAAGAAATAGACTTACAAGTCCAGGAAGCACAGAGAACCCCAAACAAAAGGAATCCAAAGAGGACCACACCAAGACACATCATAATTAAAATGCCAAGAGCAAAAGCCAAAGAGAGAATCTTTAAAGCAGCAAGAGAAAAAAAGTCAGTTACCTACAAAGGAGTATCCATACGACTGTGAGCTGATTTCTCAACAGAAACTTTGCAGGCCAAAAGGGAGTGGCAAGAAATATTCAAAGTGATGAATACCAAGAACCTACAACCAAGATTACTTTATCCAGCAAAGCTATCATTCAGAATTGAAGGTCAGATAAAGAGCTTCACAGATAAGGAAAAGCTAAAGGAGTTCATCACCACCAAACCAGTATTATATGAAATGCTGAAAGGTATCCTTTAAGGAGAGGAAGAAGAAGAAAAATGTAAAGATACAAATTATGAACAACAAATACACATCTATCAACAAGTGAATCTAAAAATCAAGTGAATAAATATTCTGATGAACAGAATAAACTGGTGATTATAATAGAATCAAGGGCATAGAAAGGGAGTGGACTGACTATTCTTCGGGGGGAAAGGGGTGTGGGGGATGCGGAAAGAGACTGGACAAAAATCGTGCACCTATGGATGAGGACAGTGTGTGTGGGGGGGGGTGAGGGAGGAGGGGGGGTGGGAACTGGGTGGAGGGGAGCCATGAGGGAAAAAAGAGGAACAACTGTAATAATCTGAACAATAAAGATTTAATTTAAAATAAATAAATTAATTAATTCTCAAGGTGGAGACAATGTTAATAGAACTACTTTTTTAAAGTACTTTTTTTTTCCCTACAAAAGTTATTAGTGAAGTTGCTTGTTATGAACACGAGATTTTTTTGAATTTAAGAACCATCTGGAATAAAAAAACTAGCTCTAATTAAGGAGAAAAATAGATTTAAAATTTGTTCAACAAGATATATATATATATATATATATATATATATATATATATATATATATATATATACACTCTTAAAGAGGATGGTACTCAAATTTTGCAGGGACTAATGAATAATCAGGAACAAGTTCAAAACGCCAGTTTGAACTGGAGTTCCACCAGAACTTTTGCTGGAATGTGTTGCTTCAGAGTCTTTGATCATTGGTCCAATGCAAACTTGATAAAAAGAATACAGTTTGAGGTCAAATTTCCACAAGACTTTTGTAATCACATCTCCCTTAACACTTTTGAAGTGCTTCTTGCATTTATCACACTGTGTTCACAGACAACAATCATAACTGTTTAAAAATTGTATGCTTAAAATTAGAAAATGAGATTCTTTAGACATATATTCCAGAGTCTGAATTCTTGCTGTCATGTGGCCTAAGGTGACATCAAATTAATGTGGTGGCCCAGCAGGGTGGGGATGGCTGTGCTGGGAGAATTGGGAAGATGGGCATCTCCCTGGGTCCTCATCTCAGCCTCTGTGGAGAGTGGTCAGGGAGCAATGGGAAAGGAGGGAAACTGGCTATGAGAGCACCTCCCAGTACACACCAGACCCTCCACCCTTCCCTTTGCTTGGTTGTTCATTCCCTCCCAAATCTTGAGGTGCAAGAGGCAAGAGATTAGTATGTTTCTAGAACATTAGTGCTGAAGCAGCCCACACAAAATTAATGCAATTACGACGTTGATTTCCAGATGTTAGCTTAATGCCAGCCTATTAAGATTTCTAAAGATGAAGATGAAAACAAACAAACATTATGAGCAAACACACAAATAAAGACATGTCAGCAGATTTAGTGATAATATGAAGCAAAGGAAAAGAAATCTCCAGCTAGAACATTTTGGAAGTTGGTTTTCTTCATCACTGATGGGAGTCGACAGCATTTTCTCAGGCCCTCTTCAGTCTTCTTTCCAGAGAGCCCCCAGATTCCTTGCTGCCTCTAGCCCTCAGCCTCCTTCCACCTGTGCCTCTCCCTGCACACCCTGCCCACCTCACCTGAGTCTTCGACCACATCCTCCTGATTTCATTGCTGTGCCTCACTAGACCTTGCACCAACAGCTGGTTTCTGAATTAGAGTTTTGAAATTCAAGGGAAACACCCTCCTTTTGCTTGAAAGTACCTCTCTTTCCTCCTCTTGCCTCCCGTGGTGGAGTGGGCAGGGTGGGCCAGGAAGGCACACAGCCCTGGCTGAGGGCGGGTCTCTACCTCCTAGTTCTATAGCCTGGAGCAGGTTCTTCATGCTGGAGCAGTCTTGGTTTTCTCATTTAAAAATTTTTGGATGATAACACGTATTTCCTTTGATTGAAGGAATAAAAGAGGGAATTCACATATATAGTGCCTGGTACATTATAAGGTTCAATAAAAGGTATTATTATTATTATTATTATTATTATTATTATTATTTTGCTACATTAATTTTCTAAGCTTTTCTGTCTCTTTTTGTGACTGTTTCATAGAATGGCTTGATTCTACTTTTGTCCTGATGCAAGTTTTTATTAAATTTCTGAACCTCTAGAAAGTAAGGTGAACAAGAACTCAAAGATTAGTTACAATTCGCCTTCTCATAGTCTGGAATGTTTGATTCCCAATGCCACAGAGAAGATAAATTTATCACTTTCATGTGAATTATTTTTTGTAATATTAAAGTATTGCAAAATCGTGTTAAGTTTAATTTTATTATTCTTATTCATACTCCTTGTACTGAGCTAACTAAAACAAGCACCCAATAACACATATTTTTGAGAAGTAAATGAAATTAGCTTCTTCAGTACTTTAAACAAATCCAAAGTTAAACTAGAATTCAGTCCCATCTTGTTCATTTCTATTCTCCCCCTAAGATAAAATCTAGTAATAGCCAAATCATTATAATTAAGCAATATTATTTTAGATAGTAATCTAAATAAGTACATATAAAAATAAAATACTAATATACAGTTCTTATAAAAGTTTTAAAAAAGTATGACTAAGTTGTTCATCACTTTAGAGACACAGAAGCATGGAACAGACTGACAATCTCAGAGGGAAGGTGGGGTGGGAAGTGGAAAGAGAATAACCAAAGAACTTGTATGCATATGTGCATAACCCATGGACACAGACCATAGTTTGATGAAAGCCTGGGGGAGGTGGAGTACGGGGTGGAGGGAGTCAATGGGGAAGAAGGAGACATCTGTAATAATTTCAACAATAAAGCTAATATATATATATATATATTTTTAAAAAAATAAAGCATGGCTATTAGCCCAACCAGCATGGCTCAATGGTTGAGCATTGACCTATGAACCAGGAGGTCACGGTTCAATTCCCAGACAAGGCACATGCCCCAGTTGCAGGCTCCATCCCCAGTTGGGGGGAGGGGGTGGGTGCAGGAGGCAGCCAATCAATGATTCTCTCTCATCACTGATGTTGCTATCTCTCTCTCCCTCTCCTTCCTCTCTGAAATCAATAAAAATATTTTTTTTAAAAAATATAACTATTAGAATTGATATATACAACTATTCATTTATCCTTATTTATTATTAAGGTATATAATTGCCTTCAAAATTATTAATGATTATTTTTCAATGCACATTTTATAGTCAATAGTTACTATTGGGGGAAAATTCATGGCTATTTCTAGATCATAGATAAAAATGTAAAGTGGTTTAATCATAAAGCTGTGAGGTATACGCTCCAGAGATATAGCCAAAGGATATAAACTGCAATGGCCCCTTAAAATGTTTTTCTTGCATTGATTCTTGGAGGCCTTGCTTTATTGCTTTAGCTATTTTAAGTTTAGACAGAACATCTTACCTGGCCATTTGTGGTAGTTTTCTTTTCTCCCTTCCCCACTTTGCTATTATTAGAGTTGTTTTGTGTTTACTACTTTTACCCTTCCCATGACACTTTCCCAAAGAACATATATTTGTCTGTAATTCCCTTGAATTTCTCAGGGCTAGCATTACTTAGGACAGCTGTACCGGGCGTGTTCCAGGTTCCATAGAAGCACTCTATTTAGATTCACAAAGGGGCACGAGGAATTTTACCAGAAATTCACATAGTGAGCAATTGTACATTTCTGCCTATCCATGCATTTCCCACTTCACACTGAATTCACACAATTTATACTTCTTTGTGATTTATTCATTCATTTTATTTACTGTATGACTGTAAAATAGAAAAGTGAGATATAGGGTTTTGAATTATCACATGATGCTGTAAGTGAAAAAGTTATCTGGTCATGGCGCATTATTTTTCTAGATGTTTGTAAAAGAGAAACTTGGCTACATGGCTGGTGTATTTGCATGCTTACCTTGCCTGACAGCCAGCGTGGTGGTATAGACCAAGAAGAGAAGAATGTAATTGAGGAAACTCTGGAAGACCGGTGTGTTGGCATGGAAATCTTCCGACAAGTACTTGCTGGTCAAGCCAATTCCACAAATAAGGAGGGATAACACCTGGCCGAGAGCCACAGAGATTAGCATCTCCCTGAAAAATGAAAAGAAACGCAGCAAAGATCAGCAGTAAGTCCATTTAAACAACATTTAAAATTTATGGAGCATTTATGCTATTCATTGGACTACGTGCAATAAACAGTATTTCTTTTAATTCATTACAGCAATGCTATGAGGAAGGTGCAATTGTTCCTGAGGTTTTATAGGAGGAAAATCTAACGCTTAGAGAGCGTAAGGAATTTTCTCCCAGTCACATAACTAGGAAGTGGCGAAGTGATAAAACTGGAAATTGAGACTAAATCTCTCTAAATGACCCTGGCTTCTAGTCACTGCCCTCCAGAGCCCGTGGGGAAAGTTCACACCATTCCGATGCCCACCATGGAATTCACCAAGTGTTCAGAAACCTGAGTGAGAGTCTGAACACCAACCAGGAGAAATCATATTCCAACCCTGTCATCAGGCTCTTATACCAATAACAGAGACTTTTCTTTAGAGATAGAAATCTTGGATCCTGGAACACGGAAATGAAGAGGCTGTACAAACCCCTGCAAATCCAGAAGGACCACCTCCTCTCCACTCCCAGATTGGGGGGTCCCCGTTGGCTCTAGAAAGCATTTGTAAGCACTTCTAGCCACTCTCCTCTGCTTAGGTTATAATTGCTTACACATTACAACTGTTATTCATGAAGGAAATTTAATGACTGAAGTGGTCACTTGAAGTGAAATATTTCAAGATCTGTAGATATTTTCTGTGACTTCTTCCTGGCAGTGTCCCTGGAGGCCACTCTAGTGGGATCAGGAGCAAGAGTCAAGGGGTCTACTTTGCAAAGGCTTGATGTTCACATGAACCTTTGTGCCCCGACACAGGAAGAGCCTTGGAAATACAAAGCAGACTCCTGCCCTCCCCAGTCTCATCTGGCTTTTCTGGTTTATTTATAGAAACAGCTCTGTAAAATAAGCAAGGAGTAGGATTTCTCAACCAAAAAAAGCATTAGGCAGAGGATTTGCAGTGCTACATATTCCCTCCCCCATGACTAACCACTACAACTAATATAATATGAATGTCAAGTGTAATTGAAAAATTTTTTTAAATTTAAATATCATAATAAGGAGTTGGTTTCAGTGGGCAGATAAGAAATGTTTTTGGTATACTGAATTTGAGCTGCCAGATCATCTTCCACATGATCCAGCAGTGTCAGAATCATGGGATTAAAGGTGAATGGGAAGGTCAACCAGGAGGTTGATACGGAAAGTTATACACATAAGAGATGGCTAAGGTCCTGGAAATGGATATCACCAAGGAAGGGATAACAGCAGAGAGAATAAGAAGGACCAGAGAAAATCTCTAGGAAAACTCCAGATTAAGGCTAAGGGAGAAAGAAAAAGCACAACATTGGCGTGAGAAGAGGTTAGAAAGCTAAAGGAAAGAACAGGATAGCTCTTGGTGTCAAGGAAACCAAGGGAACAGATACTTGCATGGAGGGAACAGTTGTAATAGTATATGTTGCTTAGAGGGTAGGGAGAATGAGGACCGAGAGGAGATGATTTTTAGTCATCTCCAGCCTTTGAAAGACCAATTTTGGTTGAACGAAGAGTGCCAAAGCATCATTATGCAACCAACACATACTTTTTGCCCTCACGGAGGGCACAGAGCACAGGCCGAGAAGTCTAAGTGGCTGGTTTCCAGAAATATTCGGGGGAAGGTGAAGACAAAGAAAGCCAGCCAGGCTGACTGATGAAAACTCCTCCACCAAGACATCCGTAATGAGTGCCTTTCAGCAAAAGGTCAACACAAGCCTATTCTTGTTTCTTCAGCCAAACAAAACAGCAAATCTGCTGCATTCAATTTCTGCTTTTAATTAGTGGCCATGTCATTCAGCGGCTGCTATGATTTGATAGAAGGTGCAAATTATGATTTTACCCGTCATGCTAATAAACGTGACTTGTAAAACAGAAAAGAATGGAAGGGACCTTTGATCAGATTAGTTTATGAGTCCTTTTCCAACTGTAGGGACCTAGAGCTGCAGCTGTTGTTGCAATCTGCACATCTGACCTCAGTTCCTAGTCACCAAAGCAAAATAAATGAGTAACTGAATAAAACCATAAATAAACCTAGATGTTGACACCCTCCTAATCCAACCTCCCCACTGCCTCTATTGTCTTCCTTGCATCAGACTTCCTTCTGTTCTCTTTTCACACAGGACAAGTCTTTTTGGTGATTTTTTTCACAGAACATGCTCCTTACCACTCTTCTGTTTTAGGATCTTTTCAGTTCATTTACTGTTGCCTTATTTCTCTGAACTTTTCTTTCTTTAGGTAACCACCAAAGTAGATCTGTGGTCCCTTCAACCTAACTCCTCATCATCTTAAAAGGGCCATTCTCTCCTGAAAGCCTCCCTTGCCACTCCCTGCTCCCCAAAGCTGAGTTAAGTTTCCTCATCTGTATATTCCCACCTCTACTTGTACTCATCATACTGTGTAGCTCGTGAGCTCCTGAAAAGAAAAAAAAATGTATTCTATTCATGTGTATGTTCCTGGTACCTTGAAGATTATTAAGTGGAAAGGAGACAGATACTTAATACAGAATGAATGAATGAATGAATGAATGAATGAATTTACAAGCAAACAAATGTATAAATGAAAAGAATGAAGTCTCAGGAGATTTGAAAGATGGCTGCTTATTCTATCTTGAAAAACTACTAGCTCTAAATGATAAAAACAACCCCATTTTCACGGTATTCCATCTGCCAGTTAGACACTGAGATTAATAAGCTATTTTCCGATGCATTTCTGAACAAGCCTGGTAAGGTGCTATCTTGCGAAAAGGATGCTAAATATGGTGTGGGGTGAAACTTTGCACAGGGGCGGTTGGTTATTCATGTAGTATATAGAATAGCACACCAGATGCATTCTAACAGGCTACATAGTTCCTATAATTTTAGTAGCAGAAACGGAGAGCAGACTATGATACACATTTTCAGCTTCTTTGTTTATGCTTTTAGAAGGACATCCTGTCCACTTTAAATTCAGAACGACTAGACAATGAAAAATGTATGAGTCCTAGAAAAAAAGAGTCCTGCAGGAAGCTGAATACCTGATATAACAGAGCTTGTATTCATAAAGACTGACATACCCATTACCATAAGCACTTTGTTCTCTTAAATAAATAGAATTCAGACTCTTGTGAATAAAGCAGTGTTATACAAATCAGATATTCAAAATAAGAAGATTTAAAACAAAGCATAAATTGAATCTTGTTTTTCCCCTTTTAGGATTAAGAATATGTTCCTTTAAAAAGGTATGGAAATTTTCAACACAGAGTTACCTAGTCATATTGCTTTGTAATTCTTTAGCATGAGAGGGGAGCAATTATGGCATCATCTTGAATTACAGCATGTCAACCTTTCTGTAGAGACATCTTCATTTTGATAACTGTTCTCTGGCAAGTCATGCCAGACCTGAGTCAGCATCTGAATTCAATATGCATACATCAAGAACAAAGTACAGTGCTGTGCCTAAAAACACCGCCACCTGAACGTGGGAGGAACACGTTCTACTACGTTATGACAAGATTCCTGCGTTCAGGAGTTAGGACACTGGCTTCTTGAAGCTCTCTGCTGAAAAGTTTCATCACATGTAAGTATGAATTAGAGTTCCATGTAAGAAGCTTAGCAGGCAAGGAGCAAACACACATCTCGGAAGTTTAACATTTGTTGGAGTTCCTTCACCTCAGAGTCTGTGTTCATGGAATTGATCTGTTCTCTGGCCCTGTGGTACCAGTGTTGTTGTTGCTGTTGTTTTTTAGAGGAAACCCAGTAAGCCACAGGGAAGGCCTCTGGAACAGCATTTCATCGAGTCTATGAGGAACCAAGTGTAGGAGACACTTGTAAGGCTAGTGTGAGAAAGATGAGTCACAAATGCCCATGCACCCTATATGTTGTATGTCTAGAGAAATGGCACACGAGTAAAAAGGCACCAAGTAGGGAGTGGGAAGCCCACCTCTTGAGTTCCACTAATCAAGCTCCACAATGTTGGGCATCTCCCACTCTGGCTTGGATTCCTTCATGTGAAGTAAGGATATTATAATTGGTAAGACCCCTCTTATGCTCTCCTTCAGATCTTCTTGGTCTCCTCTATCTCTGAGGTCTCTGGTCACTCACTCTAGCGCCAGCAGTGGCTGCATGACCAGCTCCACATGGACTACCCCAACATCATGTGGGCACAGCCCAGTGGCCCCGGGCCTCATGCCCACACTGTGCACCTTGTGCCTTCTACCCTGGGGGCTGCAGGTTGATGCTGAGGGCTAGACCTTGTGGGGACCTACTTGGTGCCCACTCATCAGTAACCAGGCAGTGCAAGGGAATTATTGCACTTGCGCACTAGAAAACCAAAGCAGACAATCACATGCTCCTTTCTTCCTCCCTAGGCAGACTGCTCTGAGAAGCAGGCACTTCTGCAGGCTCTCAGAAGAAGGTCCTGCCCACAAGGTGCTCTGTTGGGTACCCCGCCCTTCTACTGTCTCTCCCACCTTTCCTTCTTCACTCCTGCTCCCTGGGATTCCTGCCCTTCGTGAAGCAGCAGCACATGCTTCTGTTTTCTGGGGAACTCAAGCTAAGATAATGAGCTTTCCATCTCCTCCTACTCCATAATTCTGACTGACTTACTTTTAGAAGATGCTGGTGTGTAGTCATCAACCCTTAAAATTGGTATCTTTGACCTTAAAGTCTATTCTTCTTGTGTTTTTGATTAAACTCTTTGGTAGCTGAGCTACCAACAATGTTTACTTATTTATTAAGTGCACACTCTGTGGGTTTTGGGATTAGCCACAGAGAGAGTCAGCCAGGAGCATTTGCCAAGGCCTGCTGAGTGCAGGTTATGAGAAAGGAATGCTTGTCCCCTGCCTCCAGGAAGCTGAAAGGGCCATGGAACATAAATAAGTGAAACTATCTGAATAGAGGACGTAACGATACCTCTGTACAAAACTGCTAGAAGCTGTTGGGATAATTTCAGTCTTTAAAACTGGGCAAAGCAAATC